AGAATGGGGTGAGAGGCAGTGTTGAAGGCCTTCCTCAAGTCCAGAAAGACTACGTCCACCATAACACCTGTGTCCAAGGATTTTGTGACCCAGTCATAGAAAGAAACCAGGTTGGTCTAACAGGACCTGCCCCTAATGAACCCATGTTGGTTGCCCCTAACCATAATCTCCCCTGCTGGTCCCTTGCAGATATGCTCCTGGATAATTTTCTCAAAGAGCTTCCCCAGGACTGAGGTAAGACTAACAGGGACCACGTTGGCCCCTTTCCAGTCCTCTGGCACCTTGACAGAGCACCATGAGTGCTCGTAAAGCCATGCCAGGAGTCCTGCAATTACCTCTGCCAATTTCCTCAGCATCCTGGGGTGGAGATCATCTGGACCTGCTGATTTGAACACGTCCAGTTCCACCAGAAGTTCCCAGACAAGGTCCTCACTGACTCTAGGGCTGGCTGTGCCTCTCCTGGGTCTGTCTGGAATCCTGGTGGGGGAGATGTCCCAGTCCCTGCTCAGAAAAATGGAGGCAAAGAATTTGTTAAAGGGGTCAGCTTTCTCATGTGGTGCAACCACCAGATTTCCAAGCGTGTCCTGCCAGGGCCCCACATTACCCAGTACCTTCTTTTTTACTCCTTATGTATTTAAAAAAGGACTTCTTGTTATCTTTGATCAGGTTTGATTGTCCTAGTTCTGTCTCCGCCTTAGCCTTCCTAACAGCCCTCCCTACAGTCTCGAGCAATGGAGGTATAAGCCTCCTTGGTGATGGCCCTTCCCTTCCATTGGGTGTATGCCTCCTTTTTAGCTTTCAGACATTCCTGAATGCCTTTGGTGAGCCATGGGGGATTTTGAGCACTCTTGTCCCCTTTGATTCACATTAGATTCTCAATAGAGAAGCCATAGTCATTGTTCAGGAACAGATTACCTTCTATTAATAAATAAAATAAAGGAGATGGATGTAACTGAGAATGAACTCTGGCAGACAGCTGCTCAGAGCCCCTGCTTCTAATCAGTTGCCTCCAGACAGTTCTTTTCAATTAGCATGTTTACAGTACTAACAGAGTTACTACCCTTCTTGTAAGTTAGTTTAAAGGACTTTGGACTTCTTTTGAGACCTGCACTGTTGGACCACTGGTTATTCAACCAGTGATATTACAGCTGGAAGGTATTTAGAAATAAGTCCCTAAAAATCCTAAAACCTTTGTGTGCCACATATTTTGGAAAAGAACACCTGATGATTATGGATGGTATAAATATAATATTGGTATTGAGGTGGAATGGTCTGCATGACTCCCAGCTGACTCTCAGGTATCCCAAACTTATGGTGGTAATCAATTATGGTTACATGAAAAAGGCCTTGTGTTTGAAAGTCTTCTGTAATGGCAAAAATGAAAATAAGAACCTGAATGGTATCAGTGATGTTGGTGCTCTCACCTGAAGTGCTTTAATATGCCACAAACTTGTCAGCAATAACCTGAAGCTGTAATTTAAGATCACCACCGATGTCCTCAATTCTACATGACGCTGCTTTAGATAAGCTGTCCTGACTAAATGCAGACTTCTTTCCTGTGGATCCTAAGTATAACTTTTTACTTGCAATCTTTGAAGCCCTGAATTAGAGCTTGGCTTAAACTTTCAACCCCTTTCACCGCTAACTTTTGATATGGTTGATTTATATGTATATGTGTGTGTGTGTGTGTGTGTGTGTGTGTGTGTGTATATCTCCAATCCTAGCCTTGAATTTTAAGTACCTGACTTCAATGCTCAATGATTTCCTGTGGCAGTGAGTTCTACAATTCAATGACCCAGCATGTGAAAAATGAATGATAAGAGTGTTACAAGGGATGGTTTTAAGTTGTAAAAGCAAGTCCCAAATGGGGGGTGGAGAGGGCATGGGAAGGATTTAGCTATTCACTAAATGTGTGGCTTGTCAAAATCTGTCTGGGCACTAATTAATTAAGCAGTTGGCAGAGCAAGAACAAGACTTCTCATGATCCTGGTGAAACATTTGAAGTAAATATTAGATCCATGATAAGTAGCACTGGGAAACTCACTGCTATGGGGAAGGTATTTATGGAAGGGTATATAGCAGTGTGACCTAAGCTTTTCTTATAGCTGATTGCATGGGCTTTATGACAAGTTTGCTTAACTCAATAACGGAAAAATATAGGATAACTATCCCACAGAATATTATGGATATTTTTAAACTTTGTCAAGTTCAAGGGACTTCTGTTTTCCTGTGTGCAATTTTATTGATAAAGGCAAGATGTCTGTTCAGTAAACATCTGTCATTAAGATATTTATTAAGTGAAAGATTATGAACAAACATGTTAGCCTTTTTTCTGGTGGGGAGAAATGGCATCATAAATTCATAATGTTTTCTGTTGTGGGGCACAGGATGGGGTGGGAGTGGATTGTTCTGCATTTCTAGAAAATTGTCAGTGTAACAACCCTGGTAAAAATGTATACATTTTGTCAGAGTTTCAGAACTAAATCTTGTGTGACTGATTTGCTTATACTTTCACTTGATGGTAATGTATCTTCCATCATAAATTCAACATATGTGCAAAACAATGCTTTCTTTAACACCTTTCTGGATACCAGCAATTCAGCAAACATTTGGCTACCCTCAGGGAGTACTCAAGTAGATTTTAGACATGCTCAGGAATGGCAATTGTATCACTCTTAACTGAGACACAAGCTCTACTTTATGATAGCACAAACTTCATCAGTATTGTAGTGCATTTTGTCATGTTGTATAACACAGTTATATGAAGTAATTTTTTTTAATGGAGACTTTTGATGCTGTCAGCCTTGAAGTTGGTTAAATTTTATCATCCCCTGATCTTCTTTCACTGAATCCTCATCCTCAGGATTGAAGGGCCAAGGAGAAAGCTTTGGAACCGGTTCTTTTTTAAAGGAACCAAGTAGCTTCACTTCCCATTTAAGTGAGTGCACCTGCCTGGCCTTGTATAGGTGCTCTCTAGTGACATTAGAGCTCACACTTGGTGCCGGACTCAGGGTGTGTCCCTAGGGCCTGGGCGTTGGGTCACGTTCACCCTCGAAGGAGGCCCTGACACTCAACTACCATGACTTGATCTTCTTTTCTTCATTGCTGGGGCTCCTTCTTGTGGTTCCTTGCAGACCAGGTGCTGCCCTTAGTGGGCATTCTTGGAGCTCCACCTTCCCTACACCCCAGCCTTACACCAGCCCTCAGGACGGTCAGATGATGGGTCACTGGCCTGTTCCTTGCTGTCATCAGCTGCTCTCTTTTCTCCCTGCCTGTCTCTTGGCATCCCTTCACCCTGGATGACTACAGGAGGTGGGACTGTCCTCGCCACTGTGTCTACTTTCCTCTTGAGGCGTAATGGTCTGCTGCGCTGCCTCAGCTCTCCCTCTTGACCCAGAAGGCCACTTGAAGACTCCCTCCCTGGTTTGGGGCTCTGTGCACCCTCCAAAACAAGCATTAAAAAAAAAAAGATAAGAAAGGAATAGTTGGGGCATGGGAACTCAGCCCACCGCACTCGCAGGTCTGGCATTTGTGGCCCTTGAGATCCCTCGATGCTGTCCTCCTTGGCCCAGCTGCCCTGCTAAGCTGGGTGAATGCTTCTTTCAATGGAGCCAGGACCCCTCCTGTAGGTCTCTGTCCAGCCCCCTGCTGAGCTGCTGACACAGGCTGTGTGCAGCCTGGGAAGCAGCCTTGCCTTCTGGCCAAGGCATTGCTGCTCCCTCTTCCATTTCCCTGCTGCCGGCATTTAAATCAGTTGGGCAGTGATTTTTGATTGTGTCATCTGCTGGCACTGTTCCCAGCTGGCAATAAAAGGCTGGTGAACCACGCATGCGGTTTGTCTCAATGCAGCTCTGTTTTTCTTGAAAATGGTAAGTATGCCCCATTTTCAGGGCTTTTCATTTCTTACTTTGGGCAGGCCATCCCTGCCTCGGGTCCCCCTGTGGGAAGGTGCTCCAGGACCTCTGCTTGTGTTCCCCTGGGACAGTGAGGTTCTTCATAGTTTTTTTTCTGGTCTCAACCTTTGGGAGCAGTTTTCAGTCATAAGTAGTTGATACATTTTGCATTTGTACATCTTGGTTTGATTTTGGCAGGCAGTCAGATAGCTAAGTATGTGCTAGTTTTCTTTTTTTGTGTGTCTGTCATCTCAGTAACTAATGGAAAATTAGGCCCTTAGTTGCATAACAACTTGAAAGTATGGCGAGTCTTGAAGGATTAGCTTATAAAATGTCGCAAGACCAGAACACTTTATCCCATCAACTTTCCTTATCATGGAAAGGGTGAATTTTTCAGTTTGGCCAGAGGAATAAATTGCCCAAGCCTCTTTACCATAGCTTAAGGTAAATGAGCTTCCTGTACAGCCCCCATTCCTCTTCCATTATTCTTTGTACCTCCTAGACTTCTAGCTTAAAATCACATTCAAGCCCCAGTTATATTCTAATACTAATAAAGTTGTAAAAACATTGTGAGAAGACTTGAGCTTGGTTGGTTGGATTAGACATCAAATTGAAAAAGGAAAAAAAAATTCCTCAGACCACTGCAGTGTATCTTTACAATTATAGACTTACGAAACCCTGAAAATTCAGTTCTAATGTTCATTCAGGGTTTAAAGTCACTGGTAGAAAGGTATTTTACTGTCATGAGCTGTTTTTTGTTGGTGTTTAAAAAAATATTGAAAGCTTTAGGCAACTTTATTATTTACGTGATTACCCTATTTGTTCTCTCGCAGGAACAGTGCATGTGTGTGTATACACATTTTACATGCAGGTTGGTAGCCATCCTTCCGTAACCTATTATTCAAACTTATAATTTTATAGTATTTCAGTTATGTTCTGGAAATAATTCTGCCAGGGTTTGGAATATACCGCTATTTTATGATGTAGCACTTAATATCTATAGCAGTGCTTTTTTTTATGGTGTAGGCTAGAGCTGGGAGCAGAAGGCAAATTTATACATCTATCACTTACAGTGCCAGGAAGCGTCCTACTGAAATATGCCGCTGTTGTGCATGCACCACTTCCTAAACTGTAAGCAGTGTAGCTGTATTTGCACATACTACAAGCAGTCTAATTAACATAATTTCTCACAACTAATTAGTCCAGACTTTACCCTGTACAAATGAAACAGCACTCTTTTCAGCTGTTGAGTTAGCATACTATGTTTGAGCACTCTGTTGCCTGGCATGGTAATTGTGAGATGCAAACATGCCCTGATCATCTTGAGACTTGGATTCAGTTCTTGGCTCTAACTATGCAACCTCAGGCAAGTCACTAAACTTTATGGCCCTTGTTTTCGGTGTTCTATGGAATACTTACATATTTCATATTCATGTGTAAAGGATGATTCTGTTGATGCTGGCAAAGTGCTTTGGTATGCTGAGAATAAACATGGCTATAAATACTTAATAACATATTTAAGTGATAACTAATATTTAATCAGAATTTTGACTGGTTGATGCTTGTTTTGCTTTTTGGTCTGCAGTACAGAGGAACTAAGGGAGAAAGAGGCTTTATCAGCATTTAGCATAGGTATGTGATAGCATTGTAACAACCTTATAGGAAAGATAAATAGTTACATAATTATTATATTATCATAGAGCTGTAATGGTGATGGGGAGCTCAGGAGACCATCTACTCTAACCAGGGATTGAATCTGAATTTTAACTTGCTCATTTTAAAACTGCTCATCCATGTGGGCACCCATGATACTGCTAAGGGTGACCCTGAGCAGATAAGAGTGACTACAGGGCTTTGGGTGTGAGGGTGAAGGAGATGGGGGGACAGGTGGTGTTCTCCTTGATCTTTCCATTCAAGGGGAAGGGCCCAGGCAGGAATGGATGCAAGCAGATTAATGCATGACTGCACAGGTGGTGTTGCCAGCAGGGATTTGGCTTCTTCAACCATCAGATGCTGTTCCAAGAAGAAGGATTACCAGGAAGAGACAGGATCCACCTGATGCAGAGAAGGAAAAGCATCTTTGCAGACAGGCTCGCTATCATGGGGAGGAACGCTTTAATTACTGGGGGATAGAGACAAAAGCCCTGAGATGAGTGAGGAAGCAGGAGACCTGGAGGAAGCACAAGGAGGGGGCAAAAGGGGAGGCCTCCGCATTATAACTGAGAAAGTAAGGCAATCTGCTAGTTACCTAAGGTGTCTGTAAACAAATGCACAGAGTCTGGGAAACAAGCAGGAAGTATTGGAAGTCCTTGTGCAATCATGGAACTATGATGGGATTGGAATAACAGAATTGGTGAAATAGCTTACATGACTGGAGTACTGTCATGAAGAGGTACAAACTGTTCAGGATGAACAGGCAGGGGAGAAGTGGAGAAGAAGTTGTGTTGTATGTAAAAGATTCTCAAAGCTCCAATATGAAACTAGAGATAGGCCTGTTGAAAGTCTCTGGGTTAAGGTTAGAGGGCAGAGCAACAAGGTTGTGGTGGAAGTTCCTGGTGCAAGTGTTGGAGACACCAACTAGGGCAGGGGTGAGCAAAATACAGCCCATGGGCTGAATCTGGCCCATTAGGCCATTCTATCTGGCCCACAGGGCCCCTAAAAAAATTTAGAAAATTAATACATATTTATCTGTCCTTGGTTCCTGTCAAAGATGACAGGAGCCAAGGGCAGTAGGACCCAGGGAAAGCCCCGGCAAGCTTCTGCAACAGCAGGGCCCTCCCAGCCCTGCCTGGCCCCCCCAGCCAGAAGTCCCAGGAGGGGCTTCTGGCCTGCGACTATGTGGCTGCACCAGTGTGGGAAACTCAGGTGGGGGGTGGGAAGGGCAGGGGAGGACCGCTGGCAGGGAATGAGCTAGTGCTGAGTGTGGGGGAAAGGCAGCCTCTCCCCCACCCTGTGGCTGGTGCTACTTGCTGCAGCTGCTCACAGCCCATGTGGGGCTGCCTGTGCCTGCTCAGGACAGCCCTGCATGGGCTGTGAGCAGCTGCAGCAAGGAGCTCTGGACACGGGGTGGGGGAGGGGCTGCTTTTTGTCCGTGCTCAGCACCAGTTTGTTCCCTGCCGGCAAGCGTGTGGTTGGGGCTGTGCGCTGCCCCCCACCTGTACCGCAGGGCTGAGGGGGCCACTGGGAATAAGTGGGCGCAGGAGCCAGCAGGAGCATGGAGCCCACACCAGTGTCCCGGGCCCAGAGCAGGGTGGCAGGAGTGCAGGGTCCCAGCCAGGAAGGGCTCTATGGAGCTAGGCCAGCTCCCCGCTCCGCCTGCTGGTGCAGCCCAACCTGGCTGTACAGACCCCTGCCAGCCTGCAGCCTGCTCTAGGCCCCGCCGGTGCTGGCCCTGGGACATTGGTCCCAAGACATTGGTCCCACGATGATGACCAGGGGGCGAGGCACCTGTCAAGGGGTGGGGCTACCGATGTGGCCCTCAACAGCTTGCCAAAACTGGGTTAAGCGGTCCTCTGCCCAAAATAATTGCCCACCCTTGAACTAGGGGCAATGCTTTTCATGACCCGCTACTCACAAACAAGGAAGAATTGGTGGGGGATGTAGAAGTGGATGACACATTGGGCAGCAGTGACCATGAGATGATCAAGTTCAAGATCCTGACAAAAGGAAGAAAGGAGAGCAGCAAAGTATGGATACTGGACTTCAGAAAAGCGGACTTTGATTCCCTTAGGGAACTGATGAGCAGGATCCCATGGGAGGCCAGTCTGAGGGGGAAAGAAGTCCAGGACAGCTGGTTGTATTTTAAAGAAACCTTACTGAGGGTGCAGGAACAAACCATCCCAATGTGCAGGAAGACTAGTAAATATGGCAGGTGACTAGCTTGGCTTAGCAAAGAACTCTTGGGTGAGCTTAAACACAAAAAAGAAGCTTACAAGAAGTGGAAGCTTGGACAAACAACTAGGGAGGAATATAAGAATACTGCTAGCGCATTCAAGGATGAAATCAGGAAAGCCAAAGCACAATTGGAGTTGCAGCTAGCAAGGGTCATGAAGGGTAACAAGAAGGGTTTCTACAAGTATGTTAACAACAAGAAATTCAGGGAAAGTGTGGGTCTCTTATTGAATAGGGGAGGCAACCTAGTGATAGATGATGAGGAAAAGACTGATCCTTTTTTTACCTCAGTCTTCAGGCAAGGTCAGCTTGCAGACTATTCCACCAGGCAGTACAGTTTGGGGTGAAGGTGAGCAGCCCTCAGTGGTGAAAGAACAGGTTAGGGACTATTTTAAAAAGCTGGATGTGTCCATGGAGCTGGATGCAATGCATCTGAGGGTGCTGAGAGAGTTGGCTGATATGATTGCAGAGCCTTTGAACATTATCTTTGAAAACTTGTGGCAATTGGGAGAGGTCCCGGATGTTTGGAAAAGGGTGCCCATCTTTATGAAAGGGAAGAAAGAGGATCCAGGTACTACATATCAGTCAGCCTCACCTCAGTCCTTGGAAAAATCATGGAGCAGGTCCTCAAAGAACCCATTTCTAATCACTTGGAGGAGAAGGTGATCAGGAACAGTCAGCATGGATTCACCAACGGCAAGGTACACCTGACCAACATGACTGCCTTCTATGATAAGATAACAGGCTCTGTGGATGTGGGGAAAGCAGTGGATGTGATATAACTTGACTGTAGTAAGGTCTTTGACAAGGTCTCTCATAGCATTCTTGCAAGCAAGCTAAGTATGGGTTGGATGGTAAGGTAGATAGAAAGCTGGCTGGATCATAGGTCTTAACAGGCTACAATCAATGGGGCTTGATGTCTAGTTGGCAGCCAGTATCGAGTAGAGTGCCCCAGGAGTTGTTCCTCAGGTTTTCAGTTATAAGTAATTGAAAGTATATATTTTGCATTTGTACATCTTGATTTGATTTTGGCAGGCAGACAGATAGCTAATAGGGGTGTGTGAAGTGGGCTGTATTTGATTCAGATTTGGCACAATTCGGGGGACAGTGATTTGATTCGCTGATTCAGATCACTGTCCCAATTCGATTCAGCCGAATCCAAATCTGAAGATTCAATTCTGATTTGGAAAATCAGCGGTTTGGCCATAGACACAGTTTTATGTTTTTTCTACATACCTTGAGGTACCATGTGGCTCTTGAATGCTGAGATGGTGGGGCAGATGGAGCATCCCATAGGAGTGCAGGGGGGCCTCCTGCATGCTCAGTGGCAGACCCCCCTGCCACCACCCCAGCTCAGTGATTGGCCACGGGGGGACCCCATGTGCCCTCCCAGACCCAGGAGGCACCGGTTGCCAAGTTGGGGCTCAGAGGGAGGTCCCCTGTGCACTCTGCGGCAGACCCAGAAGTGGACCAGAAGTGCTTCTGGTCCACTTCTAGGTCCACCGCCGAGTGCACTGGGGACCCTCCCACACTCCCATGGAACATTCCATCCACCCCACAATCTCAATGTTCACGAGCCACCTGGTACCTTGAGGTCTGTAGAAAAAACAGATAAAGCTGTGCCTATGTCCAAATTGTCGAATCTCTCCGAATTGAGTTGGAGGCTTCCGATTTGATTCTGAGAGATTAATGGGTTGCCTGATTTGATTCAGATTGGGAGATTCGGCTGTCAAAGCGGGCTGAATCTCTTCTGAATCAAATAAATGACCAAAGCTTTGTACAACCCTAATAGCTAAGGATATGCTAATTTTCCCTTTTTTGTCTGCCACCTCAGTAACTGGTGGAAAATTAGGCCCTTAGTTGCATAACAGCTTCATAGCATGGTAAGCCTTGAAGGATTAGCCTATGAAATGTCACAAGACCAGAATGCTTTATCTCGTCAACTTTTCTTATCATGGAAAGGGTGAATATTTTGGTTGGCCAGAGGAATAAACTGCCCAAGCCTCCTTACCACAGCTCAAGGTAAATGAGTTTCCTGTACAGCCCCCATTCCTCCTCCATTATTCTTTGAACATTTTATTGAAAAGTTTTGTTCAATATCTTCATTAATAATCTGGAAGATGGGATAGATTGCACCCTCAGCAAGTTCATGGATGACACCAAGCTGGGGGGTATTGTAGATACACTGGAGGGTAGGCTACAATTTGGAGTGACCAAGACAAAATAGAGGATTGGGTTGAAAATATTCTCATGAGGTTCAAGAAGGACAAGTGCTAAGTCGTGCACTTAGGATGGAAGAATCCCATGTACTGCTACAGACATAGGACCAACTGGGTAAGCAGCAGCTCTGCAGGAAAAGAACCTAGAGGTTACAGCGGACAATAAGCTGGATATGAGCCAATAGTCTGCCCTTGTTGCAAAGAAGGCTAATGGCATACTGGGCTGCGTTAGTAAGAGCACTGCTAGCAGTTCAAAGGAAGTTATTATTCCCCTCTATTCTGCATTGGTGAGGCCACTTCCAGAGTGCTGTGTCCAGTTTTGAGCTCTCTACTACAGAAAGGATGTGGACAAATTGGAGAGAGTCCAGCAGAGGCAACGAAAATGGTTAGTGGGTGGGCTGGGGCACATGGCTTTGAGGAGAGGCTGAGGGAACAAGGCTTATTTAGTTTGCAGAAGAAAAGACTGGGGGTTGGGGGGAGGAGGAGTTGATAGCAGCCTTTAACTACTTGAAGGGTAGTTACAAAGAGGTTGGAGCTAGACTGTTGTCAGCATTGGCACATGACAGAACAAGGAGCAATGGTCTCAAGTTGCAGCAAGAGAAGTTTAGGTTGGATATTAGGAAACACTTTCTCACTAGGAGAGTGGTGAAACACTGAAATGAGTTACTTAGAGAGGTTGTAGAATCTCCATTCTTGGAGGTTTTTAAAAACTAGCTTAACAAAGCCTTGCCTGTTATGATCTAGTTGGGGACAGTCCTGCATTGAGCAGGGGGTTGGACTAGAATGACCTCCTGAGGTCCCTTCCAACCGTAAATTTCTATGATTCTATTATTTGCATTGTACTGGTTGAAGTTGACTGAAAGAAAAAAAACAAAACCAAAGAAACAAAAAAGCACCCAGAACTTGGGGCCAAGACTGTGACATGGTCTTTTCTCTTAAATGGCAATGAAGACCCCAGACTGCAGAACCATGAAAAAAGGAACAAAGTGCGAGGCATAAAGCTGGAGTAGATAGCTCTGTGACAGCTGTGCAGGTGTAGGAGTAAGCTGTGCATTTGAAAGTCTGAAGAACAAACAGGCTGTGCATCAAGAGGTAAGCATGTGTGGAGTGTGCAAATGACTCCCATTTTTGTCCAGTGCCAAATTTGCCGCTATTGGTGCAAGGCTACATCTCTTTTAGTGGCTGTGTAATGAGTTAGCAGTATTTTTAAATCCAGACAGCTTCATTTATTTCAATTTCATTTGACCCATTTGAAAGTCATGGCCTGAGAAAGAGTAGACAGTGGACATAACAAGATTGGATGATAAAATAAGAACAAATGCAGACTAATAAAATATGAATTATAACTGCCATGTGATAGGAAGTAGAGTTTTTTGGAGGGTGAGAATTATTTGGATCCAGGAAGTTCATGTACATGTAAACTGAAAAATGGAGCTAACTGGTATGGGATTTGAAAGCACTGAAACATAAAGGTGGCTTTCATGGAAATCACAATTTAAATCAGAGGTTGAAATATCAGAATTCTTGAGAGATGGCCAGTTCTGTTGAGATTTCTAGCCCACTTTTGTTGACCTAAAAGGTTCAGATGAGTTTCAGATAAGCATCAGTTTATCTAATCTGAAACTTTTGAAGTTCAATAGCTGAAACCTAATGCTTTCTTGAAATATTAAAGCTGACTGAAGACAAGTTTTTCATTCCTTTGAGAAACTGGATCAGTTTAAGTCAGAAGAATTCATCATTTCTGTCAAAACTTTCAAGGAAAGCCAGAAAGGAAGGGCAAGCTGCTTTTCTTGTATATGTTTTAAAGCAATAATTGTTTTCATAATGCTGTTGGCTCAAAGAAGCATGAAACTACGTGCAGGATTATTTTAGCTCTTTATAATGAATTTACTCTGATCAGATGCAACCTGGTTCTACTACTGTGTCATTTAACTTATACTTTGGTGCTGAGCTTTGCAAGAAATTAACAATATGAATTGCTGATACTGCTTATCATCAGAGCAGACAGCATTCCCCCTGTATGGACTTTAATTAGTGTTTTTCCCAATATTGGAAAAACTTACCAAATATTGAAGGGAGGAAAAGAGCTGTTCCAGAAATTAAGATTATTATAGTATCTGGATTAATTTTTTTAAATCAATGTACCACATGGGAGGCATCTCAGATATATGAGGAACCAAACTGATATCTTCTTTTGACAGGGTAACTAGTTTGGAGGATGAAGGGAATACACCTGGACTTTATTAAGGATTTTGACACATTCTCATAAGTAACTTGGAAAAGTGTAGGATGGATGGAACTACCATTAGGTGGATACATAATTGGCTGAATGACCTCAAGTAAAATGCGAGTGAATAGATTGATGTCAGAATGGCAAGAGGTTTAAGTAAGGTTGTACAGGGACTTCTTCTGAATCTACTGCTAGTTAACATAAAAGCCAGAAGAGTTTCCTGTCAAGATGACAAAAAATTGGGAGGGGTTGCAATCACTTTGGAGAAAAAGGCTTGAATTCAAAAGGATCTTAATAAACTAGAGGACTGATAACAAAAAGAAATTCAACAAAGGCCAATGCAAGGTGTTATATGTATTACAAAAAAATGCATGACTATAAATGGGGGATAATTAGGTGGGCAGCAGTACTGCTGAGAAGGATTTGGGAGTTGTGAAAAATAGCTTAATGTGAGCCAGCAATATGATGCTGTCTCAAAAAAACAAAATAAAATTTGGAGTTTCAGTAACATAAATATTCAATGAAAGACATGGAAGATGATAGTATCAATCTACTCAACCTGATTAAGCCTCAGCAGGAGTGGGATGGTGTAGTCCTAGGCTCTGCATTTTGGGAAGGATGTAAAGAAACTCCAGAGCATCTGGAAGTGAAGAACAAAGATGATAAAAGGGTTCTGATGCAAGTTGTATAAAGAAAATGTGAAGGACTTAACTGTGTTTAGTTTGGTGAAAAATATTCAAGGAAGGGCATCATAACAGCTTTTGAATGCTTGAGAGGCTTACACAAAGAAGGAGAACAACAGTTCCTCTGGCCACAGAGGCTGGGACATGGGGCAGTGGGTTTAAACTGCAATAAAGCAGATTTAGATAAAATCTTTGGGGAAAAAACTTCCTAACTGTCAGAACAAGATGGATATTCCTTCACTGGCTGTTTTCAAGATACCTATACGGCTTTATAGGTATCTAGTTGGAGTGGTTTAGGAATAGCACGTTCTGAATCTGTGGAGCAAGTTGGACCAGGTGATCTTTGAAGGCTCCCTCCAGCTCCATGATTCTACAAGTTGTACAGTGTCCATATCTTTGCGATACACTTGTGTCTAGGGTGCTGCATGTTATCACTTTGGTTTGCTGCCTTGTCATGTCCTTGAAGAGGCTGCACTCGCCAGACACTTCAGGAGACAGCCTGACTGTGAATCTGGAAGCTTCCTGAATTAGTAGTCATGCAGATGGCACTCTTCCTTATATAAACTTTTGGGTATGGGAACTGGGGGATAGGGACTGTGGTAAAAGAAGGGAATTTTGCAGAATGGGATCAAGGTAAAAATGGGAACAGAGTAATGCAATGAAGAAGGAGAGGGAGGCCGAACTGCTGAAGGTTGTAGTGATAAGTGAAGGGGAAACAATGGCAAATCAACAAAAGCAAAGAAGTTCAAGTTTTTGAGCTGAATGCTTGTTGGAGAGTGTAAAAGCTCCTTCCAATGTTTTCCCTTGTGAAATGACTGATAAGCCTAGTGTTTTATGGGGTTTGTGGGAACTCTAGACAGCTCTTATGACATCCTGATGTAGCTGGCGTTGCCTGCTTTAGGGAAGAAGACTCCAGCCGTCTGGAAATTTTCATAATTTACTCCCTGTAAGCTTGTCTAAGCTGCTTCTATAGCACAGGCAAGGGGGCAAATCAGCTGGGTTTGCTTTCCTTGGTTTGAGTCTCTGGGCATTTTTTATATTCTCTCTGAGAATGAGTTGAATATTCATTCTCATTAATGCCCAAATCTTATGTACTCAAGACAGCACAGAGACGAGGCCAAGATAGTGGTTTTGAGCCCCCCTCTACATGTGCAGGTAAAGATGTGATTAGTTCTAATGTGTGATCTATACAATTGCGTCTCCTGTCAGGCCAGGTCTGCATGGCTTGAAGAGTGACTGTGGGACCACTCATTAGATCCAATTGCGTGTTATTGCCAGTGCAGGGGGAGCCTGATTCTGGCCTACCCCTGCACTTGCAAGAAGCAGGCTCCCATGGCTGAGAGCCCCCTTTGCTGAGGGGGCTCATAGCTGTCGGGGTCATGCATGGCTGGGACCAAGAGACCCTGCACCGGACAGGGCTCCTGACCTCAGGCATGCCTCACGCACAGCTGGAACTGAGAGCCTCATCCTTTGCAAGGTCCTTGGTCCTGGCTGCATGCAAGGCATAGCTGGGATTCAGAGCCCCATATGGACTGGGGGTTTCATGCACCCCAAGCCTTGGAGATCATGGCAGCTGCAATCCCCAGGGATCATGAGTTTCTTGCGGGCAAGGTACACCCCTGCAGCTGGGAGCCCTGTCAGCTGACTGGGCTCCCAGTGGCAGGGGAGACTCTGCTACATGTGCAAATTAAAGCTCAATAACAACCGGCTATAAAAAGCACTTCTATGCATGCTCCATGGCTGGGGGAGACTCTAATTAAAGCACTGCCGTGTCTTGTGTATCAGTAACCCCATGCTTAAAAATAGCAGTGGGGTGCTTGAATTAAAGCTCGTTTGATGAGCTTTAGTTCAAGTGTCCCCGCCACCATTTTTAAATATGGGGACATAGATACATGAGAAGCAGGAGGCTGCTGGAGTGTGGTTCTTGGAGCCACTTTAATTAAGGTGTCACCCCCCTCAGTCCTGGAACAAGAGTTAGAAAAGTGGTTAACTGCTAGCATCTTATTATATATCTTTACAAAGTAAATATTTTTTGCTTAAGTGACTAAAAATAAGACTAAATACAGAAAACACTAACCTACAGCAAACATGAAACAATTGGGAAGAAAATACAGGAAAAAGTAGTACTTTTCAAAGGAATTGTCTCATTGTTTTCCGAAGATATTTGCATAAAAAATCTGGATCTATTTGCCAAAAAAACTATGCCAGTTATTTCTATTAATTTTCAAATATGTATGTTGTAATCAATTAAAAAACTAAAACATTGAGGCAAAGATGTTTACTCTCCTTGCCAGTCCACTGATAAATTTAAATCCTGGTCAGAAAAGGAAGTGGGTAGTTCTCTGTAGGTTTATGAATAAGTCTAACTGTTCCAAACCAGTTCTTTTCAGTCTGTCTCTGACCCTAAAGGTGCGGCAGCAAAAATCACTTAAGTTGCTTGTGTCAGAATCATAAGTGAATTGCACAAGGTACTGGAGAACATTCTGTAGGGAAATTCCAGGGAAGTTGGACAAGATAAAGGAATAGGACACTTCCATCTCTTATCTTAATCTTAGATTCCTGGCTGCTTTTTTTCCATTCATAAGTCTGGAGTCAAACGTGGCCTTTAACTATTACCCCTCATTACTCAAAATAATGACTTTCACCCAGGAGTTTTGCAAGGGTGGCACTGCAGGTAGATTCAGTGCTAGAGGTGATTCTATGGAAGATGCACTTAGACAAGTTTGAAGGTATGTTTACAATGACATTCATCTGTAACAATTCTGAGTTGCTCATCTCTACAGTATCTCAGTGTCTAACACCAACTTTTATCTGTGCTTAATTTTTTTCATCTGCACAAAAACTGATTTTTTTTTTAATTGCACATAATATGAACAGATGTTTAAGTCCCAACCTTCAAAAGTGCTCACTAGTCTAGAGCAGTGTTTATCAACCTGTGGGTCACGATCTAAAAGCAGGTCACAAAAATATATGAAAAGGTCACAAACAATCACAGAGAAATGTGGAAAATAACTTAAAGGAGAAAAATGTGGGAAGATGGGTTTCTCCTTGCAGGCTGGCACAGTTTCAGCTTGCAAGGGGCTGCTTGAGGCTGGGGGAAGTGAGAGAGGGCAATCAGGTAGGGGGTACCACATGCATGTGCATGTGCATACATGCACATGGGAGCTAGGCAGTGTGGAGAGCACCTCCCACAGCTCCTCAAAAGTAAGTCTGTAGGGAAGTGGGGGGCACATAGATGATGCATCAGAGGTGATGTGTTGTGGGGCGTGTGCCCCCCCAGTTTATGTACCCACAGAGGGCATGGGGATGCATCCTGGCTGGACCAGCAAGGGCAAGAGCCACCTCTGTGGCCCACTGGGCAGGACCCAGAGCAGAAGGGCAGAACGGGGCAGTGAGGCTCATTGTTGCCCGTGGTGGGATCCCCACACTAGCTGTGCTGCCAGCTGCATGAGGAGTAATAGATGGGAAGGGGGGGGAGGCTGTGCTACCCTCACTTCCTTTTGCTGCCACCGCTCCCTTCAGGCCCGGACTTGACCCTGGGAGGGGAAGTGAAGTGGCAGGCAGAGTGTGGGCAGCACACCAGCAACAAGGCCCCAGAGCAGAGAGGGGCCTGAGTCCCGGTTTTGGGAGAACAGACCAAATTAGGAGAAGGCCCAGAAGGCTACATGGATGTGTGACCACAGAGAGACAGCCAATCAGAGATAGTCATGGATGAAGAGTCACTAGGAGTCATCAAGGGGGAAGGAGAATACAAAAGCAGAAACTTGAGATTAACAAAGGGTCCCTTCCTGTTTTTGCTCCCTGAGAAGGGTCCCCATCACCTGGGAAGGATCCCCAAGGCCACCATGGACCAAGGGCATACTAGCAACCCATCTCATGAACCCCACTGGAGGGGGTCTGTGGGCCTTGGCACCCCACCTCCAGACTGCTGGCACCTAAGAGAAAGAGCCTTGGAGTGGAGCCTGCATCCTGACCAGGAGTAGATTGACTCGGATGACAGCCCTACAATTGGTAGATATATAATTGCTTGCTTGTTTGTGTTGTTGCTGTTTTGTTATCACTCTGTATCAGTAGATTCACTTATTATCAACTGGCACGTATTGTGGTCGGTCTGAGTGTTGTGCTCACCTGGAACAAAGGTATAAGGGCTGGGGTCCTAAAATCCAGTGTCAACAATACCATGGTGGTGGGGTAGAGCTGTGGCCCAGTTCAGAAGTGGCTGGCAGCAGGAGGAGGTGAGGGCAGTGTGTCCCTGCCCATCCGTTACTCCCTGCATTGCTGGCAGTGTGGCGGGTGTGGGGGTCCCAGCCGCAGTCTGGGGAATGGGGGTGCTGTGGGGTGGGGCTGAAGGACACTGGCAAGCCCAGGGAGCTGCAAGTCAGGAGTGAGGGACACTTGCAATTTGCACTGTGCAAATTGCATGATGGTGCATGTCACTTGAGAGTAATGGAGGTTCTCATGTTTTCCTGTTGATGTTGATTTCTGTCTTTAAAATTCTGTTGAACTGCTTTAACTTGTAGTGTGTAATTAGTATTTTGGGCCCAAAATCCTTGTGTGTTTTCTATTTAAACTATTTACTGGGTTGGGACTTGTCATCAATGTTTACAAATGGGTCCTGGTACAAAAAAGTTTGACAACCACTGAATTGAGTACCCCTTGGAATAGTGCAGCTTTGGGTGGCCCTTTTCTGTGACTGCACCTTGGGGCATGCACAGACATTACACTTACACTAGTCTAAGTGAACTTGTAACTGTACAGAAGTTCAGTGCATGTAGATCAGTCTAAAAATGGTGCAAGTGATCTAAGATAGACCTGATATGAGGTGCACTCAATTGAGATTTGATTCAGGTTAAACTGATGTATTGAACTTGTGTACTGTTCCCCTATTGATTCAAGTTAGATTGCTTTCCTCTGGCATCTCAGCCTGCTTTTGTGGCTCCCCACCCCCCAGAGGTGTGCTAGCACTCAGCTTGCACTCATCTGCTCCAGCCAAGTGCCCAGCAGGCCCTGCCCCTAGGCTGTCTTGCCGAGCAAGTATACCTCCTCTTCCCAGCCCCACCTCCTCCCTCCAGCCACCTGTTAGCCACAGGCAGGCAGTGCGAGGGGAGCAAGGTATCTGCATCCCCTGTATGAGCCCCAGGACCTAGGTCTGAGTCTTTGGGCCATGCCCCCCACCTCCAACACCCCATCACAAAGCATCCTACAATATACTCATGGACCCAACGCTAAGCTCAGGAGAACCCCCGTGCTTGAGCACAACCTTTCATCCCCAACCCTGGTTCTTTCACACTCAGCCAGGGACCCCTATGCCCTCAGGCTCAGGCACAGCCCCTCAGACCCTGATCCTGGCACCCAGCCAGGGAACCCCATGGCCCCGTGCTCAGGTATAGCCTAACAGACCCTGAACCTGGCACCTGTGCATCACATCTCAGAGACCAGCGCTAGGCACCCTGTGACTCAGACCCCCAGCATAGACATTCCTGCCCTGCAATAGGGTTGTGTGCAAGTGCATTTTCCAAAAGGGACTGGCTGAAGTGCTGGACCAAGATGAAGTGGATGAAGATCCAGTACAAGCCTGTACATGACACCAATATAAAGTCCAGAAGCAGGAGGCACAAAATGACCTTCTATGGGGAGCTGTCCCACTTCCTCACCACAGACCGGGCTGTTGCCACCCTGTGCACAAATGGTACCACCCAGGAGCAGGAGGAGTTACCAGCAGGGACCCTACTGCAGGAGGAGGCTCAGGAAGGCCCTGGGATGATAGAACAACTGAGCACCTAGGATCAGGTCCCCAGGGGCCATAGAGAATAAAGGCTGTTGCTGGCAGTGGTTCCTGAGGACTCTGGCCCATTGCTGCTAGTACACAGATCACTGCAGGATCTAGGAGTAGAGGTGCAGCAGCAGCTGGGCTTGAGCTCCCTTGACAACTTTTTGGGCATGTTTGAACACCTAGATCATAGCAAGGAGGACCAGGGGAAAAGCTGTGATGCCAAAATCATCTTGTACCTGGACCCTGACACGACCATGGCTGAACATAGAATCATAGAATCAATGAGTCGGCAGGGACCTAGACAGATCATCTAGTCCGACCCCCTGCCATGGGCAGGAAGGAGCACTGGGGGTGGCAGGGGTCGGACTAGACATGTGGTCCTTGGGACACTGTTTCCAAAACAGATGCCATAGGTCTGTTCCTCTGACATCTCCTTGCTGCCGCTATTCCATATGTACAGATTGCCCCCCAGGCCCCTTGACTACCAGTTCAGTGGCCAATGTCACAGTACAACCCACAGCACCCACATCCATCCCTCTTCCCACCTCTGCTGAATACTTCGGCACTAAGTAAGGACTCCCTCATGCCTGGGTGACAGTATGGCTCTACCCTGCTCCATGTGTCTGTGACCCAGGCACTAACCTGCTGACATGGACTAACCAAGGACTGTTGGCATGTAAGTAAACTATGGGCACCCATAGGGATGTTTCTCCAGAACAGGACTGTGCATTTGAATTATGAATAGAACTATCTTTGTTGTACAGAGAAACAGAAAGAGATTAAATCAGCAGTGCTTAACTTTTGGCCCTGCAGGTTGGATGAGTGGTGTGGGATTGGCCTGTGCATCAGATCCAGTACTAGGTCAGGCCATGGGTGTGACCCAGTTTCACGCTGGCCCCACTGCACACAGGTGCAATCAAGCATGCAGGGGCACATCACATGGACCACCTGGCTCCTCATGGATTCAGAAATTTGGTAGCAGGAGAGTGGCACTTGGTTTTGCTGCTGCTCCCCTGCAGCCAGATTTCCAGCTCTGTAGTAAACCAAAGGCCAGACAACATGGCACTGTAGGCCAGATCTGACCCAGGGATCAGAGGTTGAGCACCACTGGATTAAGCGATTCAGCTGAGATTGCATTGGAAATCCATGCAAAAAAATTGGAAACAATCTAGATTTCTTGTGTCTTGGTTTAGCATCTTAATCCAAAGATCCTTCTTCCCCCCTGCTTCCAGTGCTATCCATGTCTTTGAGGATAAACAGTCTTCAGTATACAGAATATTTTACAAACTCTTAATTGCCTTAACATTATGTTTAAGTGAATACTATTTCAGTAACTTCTTTTCCTTGCTTCTTTTCCCCCACATTCTGTATAAAGTAGCTACAAGACATTTTGGAGTTAAGATGAGTTTACTGTTTGATTAAATCTTTGTCATCTTTCACTTGATCTATGATCTCATAAGATTGATTATTAAAAAAAAAATAGTTCAACCAGCAGAATTCTGCAGTCACATTATTAGTTGTATAGACCAGAGTGCCTCATTGTAAGAGTTGCCGTATAAACACAGAACAAAAAGGCCCTTACCCCAAAGGGCTTACAATCTAAGTATAAGACAAGAGACAGCAGCTGAAGGAAGTAGCAGGGAACAATATTAATTAGCATGGTAGCAGTCATTATGGGACATCAGCAGGCTAATCCTTGTCAGGTTTTATAAAGGAAGCAATTTGAAGTTTAATGAGAGAGCTTTTCAAATATTTCCACACAATTGAAGTATACACCTAAAGACTGTGATATGTGGCAAAACTTCAGGACTTTTGAAAAGTTTCTTAATTTGTTTTGAGAGGAACTGTAGAATAAATGCTTATTAGCAACAGAGATTTGGTATGAATGTGAGAATGTGTCATCTTACACTGTGATAAGTCATACTACATTACATCTTTAATTATATGGCTCATTTGCATCATCAATTTTGACTAAAGACTTTTAAGTCCATGTAAAACATGGGTATGTATGGGCACATGCATACACACATCAGAGTTGTTGAAAGTGAATAGAAATGATGAATAGTGATGGTTTATTCTGTACTGGGTACAGTGGCTTTTTAATAAACAATATTAGATGACAGTTTTAGATGAAAAATCTAGTTCCATGTATTTAGTTATGCATAATTTTGCAAACATAGAAAAAACAAAGTACCTTGTTATCTAAGATAATGAGTAATCCATCCATATTGTGTGTCAAATGAGTCTGGGATTTGTTCCAGGCCCAGATACACTGCCAATGTAGCCTGCCATGCATCAGGGCATGCATGGCACAGGCATTCCCTGGGGACAAATAGCAGCAGCACAAGGTATGTCTCTGCTTCTTGTCCCCAGGGAAGCAAACATACGTGCTTGTATGGACATGGCTTTAGTGTTCTTATTGAAACTTCCTGCAACTTGTAAGTGTCATAGGAATTTGATCACTCATCTTCTAGTAGGTGCAAGAATTATAATTACTAAAGCCTGGAAGAAAAGTGACACTCCTATAATCACTAACTGGTTTCAAGAAGTTTGGGACATTTTAGAAATAGAAAAGTTGGTGAAGGCAAAAATATGTTTATTTGGAAATCTGGTGCGAATTTTTGGCATTTGGTACAAAATAAATTTCTCATGCCTCCAAACCAGAACATTTCAGAAACTTTTTGGAATTTTGAATTGCAAGTTCTATGAGGAAACACTTAAGAATGAATTTACAATAAATTTAAAAATTAAAAACAGAGTTGAGAAAAAAATTATGAGATTTGTGTTGTGCAGAATTATAAGGAAAAGAAGGGGTGAATTATTGTATAGAGATGAAGAAACACAGGCTGGGCATTAACAGAAACATGTAGGAATTGTTGGAGACTGGGGGGAGGAGAGGAAGAGAATATAAGACTTCTGTGGACATTGATTTGGAATATGATAGTACTGTTAATAGAAGATGAACATCTGGCTTTGCATATCTTTGTGGGGAATGGATATGTTTTTGAATATGACCTATTATTTTATGGGTTGGGTTCGTTAACAAATACAGTTAAAAAAACAAGAAAAAGAAAAAATATTAGTATGAGTTGGGACCCAGACCTTTGGAAGTATTCTGCTGTAATTGGTTCCAGTGAACTTGTGTCCTGGTTGAAAGAGTTTAGTAACATATAGCAACAATTTAGTAACATTTAGCAA